TTTTGTTGCAAAGCCACAGATGCATACTATGAAGTCCAAACACAATTGTTCTATTGATGTACAATTTACTACATGCTGGCTAGCTGGACGTCATTAAGCCGCACAGAAGAGTTTGTCATGGTGCCCCTTTACTAACTAAACCCCCACAATACTTTTTACTCACCAACATGGAAGTGCCGCCATTAGTATTAAACAATAAGAGGCTCCAGATGTTGGTACAGTCATGTGCTACAGATAATTTACCATAGTTACAGTGTGTTTTTAATCTAAAAAAAAAAATGGTATTGAAAGATACTGATTATTAAATTACTTAGATCAGACTGGGGGTGGAAAAAACTTTATCGGAACTTCTCTGCTTGCTTTGTCTTCTGTATCACAGAATCGTATTCTGGTAGTATTAGAAAATGCATACTCAAGAACATAGTCACACAAGTGCTTGTACCTCCATGTTAATCCATCAAATTTTATTGTGTCTTCTTCCATATTTAGCTGTAACAGCCAGTAGCGATAAATCAGACTGCACTCACTAAGTAGGAAAACTTACTTAATAAGGTACAGGTTAGTGAACAGGTAACAAGTTACATCACTGACAGTTGTCTGTTTGCAGCATCAGAGCACGACAAAGCAGCTCCATGACCATGACCGCTGCTACTCTGAACAATGTGACATTTAAAGAAACAGTGGTGGCGGGAAACAGTTTGAATAGCCGCCATCTCCCCGCTGTATGTGTGTGTGTGCGTGTGTGTGTGTGCACCCCTCTTCTCCACCCTCCCTCTTCCTGTCACTCAGTTTGAACTCTCAGCCTTAGAGTTTCCTCAGTGAACACTAAGATGCATCAACACATGACCGCAGACTAACCTGGATAAAAGAGATGATGACATGTTAAGCCTCAAAACTGAGTTCCAAAATCGCTAAACATGACCAGCTGAATCTACCCCTAAGCCAGTAGAGTACTCTGGCTGACAGGCGGTACCCAGAGTATGACAAGAGAAGGATTCACCCAGTTTGCCCACTGCAAACTCTGTACTTTCACAGAGGATAATTTATGTATATATTGGCTTGGGAGGACATAAACATGCTTCTTGTTTTGCTCACAAGTCTTTTCACATGATTTCTACTTCCATCGTTGGCTTCAAGCGATAACACAGAACACACCAACACATTTTCTCTCTTCATACTCAGTTTGACATCACCAAGACTTCTAATAGTTTGTGTTCACATTTTAATCTAACAGTTCCACCGAATTGTGAAAGATCATTCTTTTGTTGCCCCTGACATTGTCTTTCAGATAGGATGTGGACAAGGTAGCAGCAGATATCAGCAGCACAGTTTCTGTGGTTACCAAGAGGATTCATTGTTCAGGACTTGTTGACTTTAGCGACTGACCTTGTGGCATGACTCAGACGCATGACTCAGATTCATCAACCGTCATATGTACAGTTACTTTGGTTATCTTTGTCACACTTGAGACACACTTCAAGTATGTAGAGGTATGGCTTGCTCTGAGATGCGCCGCTCCATTGGTTTGGTTTGCAAAATGCAGCAGGCGTATCGTACGCCGCGATGAGGGCCCTCCTGCTGCTCTGCCGCCATAAAGAACTGTCAGTCACGCGCATTCTGCTGCAGTTAAGTCAACAGCTTGGTTCCTTCATGATCCTAAAACCACTTAGCGTTATCTCCTTTGTTGTCTTGGCTGGGGTTGGAAGGATTGTGGTCATGAACAGCACGCTGAGATAACTCTGGTGTGGGAACGCAAGGGCGGCGGGTCTGAATGCTGGGATGTCAAATGCTCCCAGTGAGTTTAAATCCATGTCCAGTGGTTTCTGTCACATGTTTGGTGAATATTTTTTAGTAAAGATACAAGGGATGCTTGTTTAGAGTACTTCTCATTAGTAAAAAGTACTTTTCACTATCTGTTCAAGACTGCTCTGCGTCTTTACACTTTTTTTAAATTTGCTGAACTGCCCAGAACCTTATAAACCAAGTAGGTATCTGTCCACATAAGCAAAATCTTATGTATACAACATTTCTAAGTTTCTGAACTCGTGAACCTGCTCTATAGCATAATCGACAATTGTGGTTTCAGTAGTTTTGCTTCCTCTTCCTGGCTATGTGACCTGGGGTGTTTCCCATCATGTTTCACTACTCATCATTATATTTGCTTGTACATGGATGTCTAGTCAAAAAACAAAAGTGTACAATTTCTACAAGTGGCAGTTGATACTTCCAATTTCTCTTTCACGGGGTTGATGCCGCTTTCTGTATTCTGTTAGTCATTCGTCTCTTACATTTCCTGTGTAAGCTCTCTGTCATTTGAGTTTTCAGCGTTAGAGTTTGTACGAGAGCAGACGTTGGTTGTTTTTGAGCAGAAGTGATTAACAACGATTCTTAGATGACAGCAACCATTGGATGGCTTGCTGTGAAATTTGGGCAATACTTTTCATGATCCCCAAAGGTTGAATCGGAATCATTTTGGCTAACTCTAGACATTCAGTCTAACTACATTTTAATTGGAAAATGTTAAATAAATAAACAGCAGCGCATTCGCTTTGTCAGGGAGAGCATGTAATTGTGTAGATGTTAGGTAGCATTTCAAAGTACAGCATTAACATTAACGGTTGTGTTCTGTGTCGCTGCCAAGTTCATGCATTTATGTTGCACCAGAGAATTTGCTGGCAGCCTGAAGTTACAGATACAGAAGATGTCTTGTTTTCTTCAGTACACAATTTCTGATGTCTGAGTCAGAAATAAATGCGGACAAACTGTCTGATCCGCCTCGGTTTTGTGTTGGCCCAGTCACAAGAGATGTGTGATGCTTGTGATGTAGTCACGCATCAAAGTTCAGGGGTCACACTGATGCGCTGGTTGTAGGCAAAGACTGATACTTCACCCACTGAATGTCTTGACTGTCTTGAACCGAAATGTATGTTGCTTAAAAGTTACAGCCAAGCTGACAAAATGTTATTTCGTTAATGCAAATCGTTCCAGACTTCTGACCTTGAATAAAAATCAGATGGGGAACCTTTGAGTAATGACTTCCAGAACCCCTGCTCTACACGAAACAGTTTAACTGATATGTTTAACAGAAATTACAGAAAATAACGTGCTGTAGGTGACCACCTCAGTCCAGGAACGCTTCATCAGCAATACTAAAAGGACAAAAGGCCTTTATGATTTCCATCTGGCCAATCGTAAAAGTAGTACACAGCTGAATGAGTAAGGATAAAGCAAATGGAAATGTTAAAAAAAAAAACACACCAAGTTTCAGGCAGTCACTGAAGCGAAGGGTTCTTAAAGTTTCACATGACAGGTCATTCAATGAGCCACGTTTTATTAAATGCAATGGCGTCACAAAATTGGACCTGTACCTCTAAATGCAAAGGTTGTCAGACGTAAGGAATTTATTTTTGGAAAACGGTTTTGGTGTGACAAAAAGCAGTTGAGAAAAAGTCATGGAAACTTGACACGTGGGCCTGAGAGGGGTGTTTCTGAGCATGTGCTAATAATAGCGTGCTAAGTGTTTTTGAATTCTGGCCATGGGAGGCACACCCTAACCAGGCAGAAAATTTCTAAGCGTAGTTCCTTTTTTCATGCAAGATTAACCAGTCTGACTCAGGAAATGAAACCGCTTACACACCAGCACGGTGGTCATGAACTGAACTCACACTTTTTAAAAAAAAAAAAAACAACAAACATTCATGTAAGTTCATAACTGTCAGTGTAGAAGTTGCTGCGTCTAGATGACTCTAGACAGCTCTGGGATGACAGGATGTGGTACAGGGGCAAGTGTCCTGAGCAGTAAATGGGGTCCTGCTGACATGGATGGGAAAGAACGCAACTCTAATCAGCCCCGCAACTGGGAAATAATGCGTACCATTGTTGTTCAGGGCAGGCGTGGGCCTCTGCCTGCACAGTTATTTCCCAATAGACATGCATGCTGCTCTTTTAGTCATCTGTAAGAGGACACAGAAAATGAGAAATTCCTGCTTGGTCAGTTTACAAAGTACAAAATCCTTTTTCTCCCCCTTTTCTTTTCTCTGGGCTTCGAATGAGACTTAAAGGTTAAATACATGCGTTCAACTTCTGACATGTGATTTTTGCAGTATACAAACACCGCAGGCTAAATGAGCTACTGTTTCATGAGGCGTTACCTGAAGAGGAAATCAGCCTAGTTTCCAGCCTTTACATGGTGTACTTGTTAAATTCTGCTACAGCAGATAGTTTCGCAGCTGACAGGTTTCTTGATACATGACAGGATGTAGAGGACTCTCATGAGAGCTCAGTGTTTAGCAGCCGTGCCTCACAAGGCCCAGCCACCAGAGGATGTGGTTACTTCCTGTAGATAAGTTCTTTACTGAGACACAGCCAGATTGGCACATTTGTCATGCGCAGTGCGGGACATGAAAAGCACGGGATCTGTTTTCTCTACACATGTCAGAATAAAACATAAGTAGATGATGTTTTTTTTACTTAGCTGAATGTTCACAACAGAGCTGTTTAGACTGTGGTGTTGCCTTGTTTTTCTAACAGAGATGGTCTATTGTGGGTCTTTGCTGCTTTTGCACAGCCAGATTTATTGCAAACCTGTAGAATATTTTATTTTTGTCTGATGTAGTTGTTTGACTTTGAATGCGTTTAGAATTATACAACATAATTATAATAAAAAACACTGTGTTCTTTTCAGTTTAACCATCCAGCGGTTTTTATTTCATTCCATTTCAGTACTGATTGAAGCTTTCATTGGCTTTTTTTGTGCAAGAGAGGTGCATACTATAGAATGAAAAGGAGGAAATGCTAAAAAAAAAATCCTCTCTAAAACAGAGAGCTTCCATTCATCTGAGAGTTTTAATAAACATGAATCTGTTTTTTATTCTTTTCCTATTTTTTAATACTAGTTGTCCTCGAAGTTCTCGCCGTACCAAGAAATACAGTGTTGTTTTCAAACAGTTTGTTGATTTAGAGTTTAACGGTACTTTTTGTTTATTTGCTCTGTTGCTCAGATTAGCGTCAGAGTCACCACAATGGATGCTGAACTGGAGTTCGCCATTCAGCCCAATACTACAGGAAAGCAGCTCTTTGACCAGGTATGAAAAACGTCTTATTTTAGTCAATGTGTTTTTAACCCTTAGGTCATAGCTGACAATATGTAAAGCTACAGGCAGCAGAAGTCTGAGAACATTGTGTATTATTTAACTGTTGAACGACTACTATGTGAATGCTTAACTGATACCATGCAATACTGCAAGCTCCAACTAAGGGTTTTTTTGCATTATCATTTAATTTGCAAATTATTTTCTTAATATATTAGTTACCAATTGGATTATTAGTTTAAAGAAATGTTTTAAAAGCTGAAAATTTAAGAAACTGAAACCAGCAGACGAAAACAGTACATCTGTTATCAGTAGTTGACAGAAAAAACTTTTGGTTGACTGAAATAGTGCCTACTCTTCAATTTATAAATTATCTGTTATCTGTTATCTATAGATGAACTAAATGGGCCACAGTGCACCGAGCGCGAGTGTTCTCAGCCTAAATGTGTAATAAATAAGCACCAAAAGCAAATGAAATCACCTTAGCCTGATAATTTTGTATTGAATTGATCACAACAGACTCGGAGCAGATCAGTGAGCACCTGCCCATAGTTATACGAGCTCTGAAAATCCAACTATATATTAACTACTCACAGCACAATAACTACGAAGGGATGTAGCATTGATAAGTTAGCGTGCCGTCTTTAGATAATCTGCCTGATAGCCACACAGACGACTTCTTTGACACAAACCATGTGTCGACATTGAATGTGTAAGGCCTCGTAGTCTCCATTAGGTTAAATGAGTTCAGAGTTGTGAAAACGTGGTTGTTTTTTAAAGAAAAAAAGTTTGATATGTCAAGCAAAAAGTTTCACAAATATCTTAAATATTCATCTTGTGCTGTAAACATTTCAGGCAAATCAGAGACGGTTGAGCAGAAATTGTTCTAAAAATGTGACAATTTGAGACTGAACGACCTGATTAAGGTTTAAAATCCAAAACGCTAAAAATCCTGAATATCTTCCTCCTTATGTCACATTAACAAGCTGCTATGGAAGGCTGTTGATGCAGAGCTTCACTCCTTATTCAGCCTCTTTATTATTTAAATATATTGTTTATTATTTAAATAGGTGTTTAATTAAAAAAACAAACACTCCTTGTTTATTTTTTATTTTATGTTTATTTTATTGAAGTCTTTATATTAAATACACAATTGAATTGCCACTAGGGGATAATTAAAGTTATTTGAATTGAATTGTTTAAGTAACATGAACATGAAACATCTCCGTTATAGATCTGGTTTGATGTTTTCAGGTTGTGAAGACCATTGGACTCCGAGAGGTTTGGTACTTTGGACTCCAATACCAGGATACAAAGGGTTTCTCTACATGGCTGAAGCTCAATAAGAAGGTGAAGTCGTCAGTGTTTTGCCTTTACAAGACTCTTTGGCCTTTCTGCTCAGTTGGTCTGTTTACAGAAGTACAACCTCTAACCCTTCGCCCATGTCACGTTTTATTTTAGGTGACAGCCCAGGATGTGAGGAAGGAAAGCCCGCTGCTGTTTAAGTTCCGTGCCAAGTTCTTCCCTGAGGATGTTTCGGAGGAGTTAATCCAGGATGCCACACAGCGGCTGTTCTTCCTGCAGGTGAAGGAGGGAATCTTGAATGATGACATCTACTGCCCCCCGGAGACGGCGGTCCTCCTGGCCTCCTACGCGGTGCAGGCCAAGTACGCTGACTACAATAAGGAAGTCAACACACCGGGCTACCTGAGTGGCGAACACCTGCTCCCTCAGAGGTAACACAGGCTTTTATCGTCATTTCAACCTAATCTTAGATGTGACTCTTTGAATCCAGTGTGCTGTGAGACTCTGAATGACCTCTGACACTTGGATGTTTCATATTTTCAGAGTTCTGGATCAACACAAGCTCAACAAGGATCAGTGGGAGGAGAGGATTCAAGTGTGGCATGAGGAACACAAGGGCATGATGAGGTGACCACCCGCACATGTGTCACACAAGCACATTAAATATTTGCCCCTTTTCATAAATGCTGTTTCAAGAGGATCTTTCACGCTCTTAACTCAAAACACAACCTACAAAATGTGTGTATGTTTGAATGCCGATAGTGTATATTTATGCTAGAATGGCACCGTGTTTGTGCCTTGCAGCATTGATCTTTGGTGGTTTTACCAAACACTGGGTTCATATCTGTGCTACCCTGAAAATGTTTAGCTCTCTTGTTAATTGTCTTGTTCTCCTGAGGCTTTTTTTAGCTGTGTTGCTGTACATTTCACGCATCCCTGGGACATGTCACCTTGAGCGAAGTGTTTAGATCACTCCTGTGTGGTGGTGATCAAGGTCAGGCAGTGCATAGACTAGCCTGTGCCTCAAACTGTAGCATTTTGGGCTATATATTTCTTAATTCCATACGAGATTGTGCACAGCATTACGACAACTGTTTGCTATGTAAAAATGTAGTGGAGTTATGTCATCCTTAGCAGAGAATGATGTCCCAACCATTGAGTGTATGTTGTAGTCTAGGCTTCTCTGTTTTATGTTTTGATAGCCACTACAGCCATGCATGCCAGGTCGTGTATGTGAGCTCCTCCCTTTGTAAGTGTTGGCCCATCCTGCATTGATAAACAGGCTGATGGCGGTCAGACGAGAGTGACGTACAACACCACAAATGGAAAGTGCAGTTCAACGTTCAGCAATTGCCCCAAATATCCATCCATCCATCCATTATCTATACACCGTTTAATCCTCACTAGGGTCATGGGGGTGCTGGAGTCTATCCCAGCTGACTTAGGGCGAAGGCAGGGGACACACTGGACAGATCACCAGTCTATCACAGGGCTACACTTAGAGACAGACAACCAAGCACACTCACATTCACACCGACGGACAATTTAGAATCACCAATTAACCTCAGCATGTCTTTGGACTGTGTGGGAGGAAGCCGGAGAACCTGGAGAGAACCCACGCTGCATGGGGAGAACAAGCAAACTCCACGCAGAAAGATCCTGGGTGTCCTAACAGAAACGGGGATCTTCTAGCTGCGAGGCGATGCTGCTCACCACATGGCCACCTTGCAGCCCAAATTTTAAAACAATATATTATGTATTATATATTATTCACCTTTTCTTATGTGCAGTTGTGTCTTTTTAGCTCAGTAAGAGAGTTTCCACAGCTGTTTTGTTGCTCTTCTCTGCTACATCTGTTCTGCTGACTCATGGTGGAACAGACACACACTGAGCGGTGAAGATAGCATCACTTGAGTTTATCGCAATACATTGTAGCCATTACATCCATTTTACAGTAGTAGCCTGGGCTAATGATTGTGGCTGGGTTACTTTTTGTTGCCTCTCGATTACACAAACTTTCTGTTTATAAATGATAGTGCAGTGAGGTGGGAGGTGTGCTCAACACGCCCCTCTGTTGTGACCTGAGATGCTGGCGCTCTAACAACAGCCAGTGGTTTTAAATGTCCTGTACAGCACCTTTAACGACACCTCTTATCTGCCCACAGGGAGGAATCCATGATGGAGTATCTGAAAATAGCTCAAGACCTTGAGATGTATGGAGTCAACTACTTCAACATCAAGAATAAGAAAGGGACAGAACTGTGGTTGGGAGTGGATGCTTTGGGTCTCAACATTTATGAACAAAATGACAAGTAAGTGATTCCACAACAGTCACAAAATGGGTTTTCTTTAGCTAATCACTGTCCCATGAAATACAGCTGACCAAGGGTTTTTATTTTTCCGCTTTCTTCAACAGAATGACGCCCAAAATTGGATTTCCTTGGAGTGAAATTAGGAACATTTCCTTCAATGACAAGAAATTTGTCATTAAACCAATTGACAAGAAAGCACCGGTATGATAACTTCTACTAACAGACACGTTCAAGAAATCATCCATATCTACGGCACTTGTGTAAAAATAAATCTCTAATGTTGCCCTTGTAGGACTTTGTATTCTACGCTCCGAGACTTCGCATCAACAAGCGCATCCTGGCTCTGTGCATGGGCAACCATGAGCTGTATATGCGCCGCCGCAAGCCTGACACCATCGAAGTGCAGCAGATGAAGGCTCAGGCTCGGGAGGAGAAGAATCACAAAAAAATGGAGAGGTAAGAGTCACACGCTGCTGAAAACCTACACTGTGAGTTTTACGTCAGGATGGATAAACGAGTGTTCATTCAACAGATGCTTGTTATCGCTGTGTAACCCGATACACCTTCACCTCTTCCCTTAATCTGTTTCCATTAGAGCCCTGCTGGAGAATGAAAAGAGGAAAAGAGAAGTTGCAGAGAAGGAGAAGGAAAAGATTGAAAAGGAAAAGGAGGAATTAATGGAGAGATTAAAGCAGATCGAGGAGCAGACGAAAAAGGCTCAGCAAGGTGGATAGTCTGTCAGAATTCAAGAAAGCCTGGTTGTGCTGTTGTAATGAATTTTGACTGGGTTTTTTCCTCACGTGCACTCACTGTAATGGTTCTCTCTGTGTGTGAATTTGTGTCTGCACAGAGCTGGAGGAGCAAACACAGAGAGCCCTGGAGTTGGAGCAGGAGAGAAAGCGAGCTCAGGAGGAGGCTGAACGCCTGGAGACCGACCTGAGGGGCGCTGAGGACGCCAAGATTGCCCTGCTGCAGCAGTCAGAGAACCAGATGAAGAACCAGGAGCACCTGGTGAGATATTCTAAAACTGTTTGTCTAATCTTACATGTTGAAACTGAAAAACACCAACGTTCAACATCAGAGGTCAATAAAAACAACATTTTTGTTCTTTTAGGCCACAGAGTTGGCTGAGCTGACTTCAAAGATTTCCCTGCTGGAGGATGCAAAGAAGAAGAAGGAAGAGGAGGCCGTGCAGTGGCAACAGAAGGTCGGTCTGAGTTCTCGCTGTTTGACAGTGTGCTGTGAAATGCTCAGCTGTAGAGCTCATGACATGAACGTGTCCTCCTGAAAGCACATCATTTATCAGTGAATCACCCTGAAATCACACTGAAAGGTCTCTCAGAAAAGTGTTTTAACAGGTCGTTGCCTACACAGTAACACAGCTCCATTTCTTATTCTTCCGCCTCCTTCCAAAACTGAGACTTGTGCTCTACAGCCACCGTGTGGCGAGGAGTGAGACGGACAGCCAAGCTGTGGTCCTCACGTCAAATGTCTTGTGTTTAGCATATTCCTCAAGATGAATGCTAATGTCTGTGTTGCTGTAGTAATTATTTTGTGCCATCTGACGGATTTTGTTATTATTATTATTACTTTTTAAATTAGTTAATTAGTTGTCATTTTACAAACGTGCTCATTGTGAAGATTGCTTCCCTTTGAGAGAGCAAGCTGATCATTTGGAGACTGTTTCAAACTTGGATTTTAGGAAACCAACATTTTTTTTTCCTGTTATCTGATGGTTTCTAAAACATTCTGATAAGTTTAATCGATTAAGAAAACTATCTTTAGTGGCAGCTCTGAACATAAATTGGAATTTGTGGCACCTGTGTTGTGTAATATGCTAAACTGACTTTCAAAATAAGCCTAATGCGAACAGACAAACGTAATCACATGATCAAAGTCGGGACATTCTCCCCCTCCTGTCAGAGTCAGGACAGGCACGCCTGAGGGGAGGGTTGAAAGCTTGCCTCATGTCTTTTTTGGTCAAAAACGAAAGGCCCAGCCCTTTCACTTTTTTTTTTAGTGCAGTGTGACTCATGCTGTTGGTGTTGCTGATGGCTGCTGTGTGTGAAGGAAATCCTGTTTAATTCTTTTTAGCCATGATGATATTCTGGCTCATAAAAGACTGTCGTGCTAATTAGTGGTTTCCATGTTCTGCATTCTTGGCAAACATTCAGCTGGCATTCCAGTGTTAGTCAAAGATGGCTCTTATTCCAAGCAGCTCATAGAAGAAATGCTCGGAAATATTTTGAATTTCTTCTGTATATTTTTTTTATTCAACCGGAAAACCACCTGTTTTTTTTTGTCTTGATACTTATATAATTTGGTGCCTGTAGTACTCCTCTTCCATACTCCATAACTAAGGGGAAAAAAACAGACTAAAAACCAGTGTTTCAGTGAGTTCTATTGGACATTGAACATTCCAGCCTCACCATCTTCCTGTTAATGAGATCCTAGCTGCAGCGAGCGCTCTCACTATAACACGCTGTCTTTCTGTGTCGCCTCAGGCCACCATGGTGCAGGACGACCTGGAGAAGACCAAAGAAGAGCTGAAAAACAAAGTGCTGTCCGCTCACGTCCAGGAGCCGCTCAACGCAGAGAACGAGCACGACGAGAACGACGAGAGCAGCGCCGAGGCCAGCGCCGAGTTCACCGCTGCTGCCACGTACAAGGACCGCAGCGAAGAGGAGCGAATGACCGAGGCTGAGAAGAACGAACGCCTGCAGAAACATCTACTCGTAAGTCCAGTTGTTAAAGCCCTGAATCAGAAGGCGCACCATAGACACACATGTATGTTTTTTAGTAGCTTTTTATCGACTATATTGAAAGCAGAGAATGTATTTGAAAATCCCCCAAAAATAATACAGGCATTAAAGTCTATCAGCAATCATTGACATAACCTAACGTGCTCTTAATCTCTTCATAAACTTCACACTGACTGACATGAAAGATCCCGGGTGTCCTCATTGGGACGCGAACCGGAGACCGTCTTGCTAACAACCGCTACACCTTGTAGCCTTAAAGTAATAATGATCTCAATGTTGATTTTTAAAAGTCGTGATTGTCGGGTGGTTATAATCGTGCAGCCCTCGTCAGTCATATGAAAATGTTTTGGCTGCAGAACGGATGACCACTAACGGGTACTTCGTCAGCAGTGTTGTTGCCACCACGTGAGGTCACACGGCTAATTTGTTCGGCCATTTAAATCAGAACCACAAAACTGTGTATGATGAGCAGATGCCATCTAAAGCTAGAAACCATGTTGGATACAAGTGTGACACAAAACGAGAAAACTGTCATTATCGTAAAAAGTCATTTTTCAGGTTGATTTCTTTTCTCTTATAAAACCACACTCATCACTCTGAGTGTATTTCCGATATGATGCAGCCCGAGTTTAGTAACGTCGTACTGTGATGTCGTGATTGTGTTTCCAGGCTTTGAGCTCAGAGTTGGCCAACGCTCGGGACGAGACCAAGAAAACGGTGAACGACATGATCCATGCGGAGAACATGAAAGCAGGACGAGACAAGTACAAGACCCTCAGACAGATCCGGTCAGGAAACACCAAACAGCGCATCGATGAGTTTGAATGCATGTGATGTCCGCATTCACTATCGCCAGAGCCCACAGAGGTGGGCCAATCTGCCTGGACTGCAGTCCTGCCTCACTCAAAGCTGTTTTCTCTGTACCCAAATAAATCAGATCCACCACACGACATGGCCGCGACAGCACAGCACAATGTACAAATATGGATCTGGAAAATTCCATTTGTTATCATTCCTAACTTCGATTTTAGGCAAGTCACTGGTTGAAAAGGGACATACTGTATTTTATTAGTACAGTCCTCACAAGGGGTTTATGTAGCATATTAGTAATGGGCTCACGCCTCGTTTCATGACACATCGAGCAAACACAATTAATTTCTTTATGTATTTCTTTTACATTTTTATGTCATGATTTCAAAATAAAAGGACGAGAAACCAGTTCAAATTTGGCACTGTTCAAAAACGGTGCCGTAGACGTAGTTCTGCTGTACACATGCTCTCCGGGTTTTCCAGACAGGGCTATTCCTCGCATGATGCATTCCAGTAGATTTAAAAGCAGTAGCGCTGTAATCTTACATACTTCTAGTATGACTCTGACGTGTCTGAAGTTAATGAAGCAGTATTACTTTTTTTTTTTTTAATTTAGTTTCTTTACTTTTCAGTTGACTGTAATCAGAATTGGCCTTCATATTTACAGTCCACTCACAATGTGATATTAGAGGTCATTTTCATGTAGAACTTTTTGCATTTGTCTTTAAGCCAGTGTGCAAATACAAGACTTCAGTACAAAAAGATAAATGTCCTCTAAAATCTGCATAGAAAAATCCTGAATTGTAGACAAAATGAGCTTGACATGAAACATGATTGTGATGCATTACCCGCAGTTTGCCTTTTTCTCATGCCTGAAGGTTCGTGTTACGAAGCACCCGACGCACATCTGGTGTGTTTTTCAGAGCACTGTTACGTTACACTGAAGAAGTGAGGTTCAAATTTTTACCCGAATCTAATTGAGATGCGCAGAAATTTTTTCGGATGTCACTTTTTCAGAACTGAGTGCCGTATGGATCCCTCAAACTCTGTTCAATTTCAACAAGTGGTGAGAATATTTGTAGTTGATTTACTGTACTTTTAATAGTTTCATCCCTCTGCTTTTATTGTTAAATTCTGCTTATCAGTGAGAATGTCGTTTGATTATCAGCTTTTTTTTTCTCCATTGATATAACCGATACAGCACGAGGACTTACACTGTAATTTGTCACATGTCAAGTTGGCTTTTGTTGGTGAACAAATGCCAATAAAGTCATCTGCAAAGGTGAAAGCTGAAACTCTTTTTTTTGTTTCTCCCTACAAAATAGTAAAATACTTCAAATAAAATGATTTCATTAGACATGCACTGGAAAATAGCAGTTTACCTTTATAAAAATGAGTCAAAACAGAGTGTCCTCGAGGGACGCTTTTTCCAACGCATGCATTTTTGATATACTGTATGTATTTAATTACATTTGTGTATTTTGTAATTGGGATTTTTCAGATGTGATAAAATTATGTCAGGTGTACCGGAAAAGCAACACCTCTGAGGGTATTTTTGTATTATAGAAATGTAGAAATACTTTTTTTGTTCAAAAGGAACAGCATTTTTCAAGACAGTATTTTAACTAACTAGACAGCTCACTACTGTTACAGTAAGCTGACGGAACAAGCAACACCCCGGAGGCTGTCGTCGGACCAGTGAAACACCGGACGCTGCGGGACATTCCATTTATGTTCTATTATACTGACGAAGGCAGGTGGTAATGCCATGAATGGAAATGTGAAACCACGCCTCCCCTCCCAAAAGCATTTGCCTAAAAATGAACTAAACGTACTTCCTTGTGCCATTGTTCCACTTTTCATTTCGGCATTGAGACATGCGGAGGGTTTTGCTTGTTCATAGGTTTTTAGAAATTAGTGTTTGAAAGATTTATTTACACTATTTTGCAAAAAAAACAAACATGTATTTTAGTGATAAATATTTCTGATTATTTTATTTTGATGTCTTTTACTGAAGGACCATTTGTATCAATATGCATTTTCATATACAGTATTTGCCCATTGCTGCGTATATACTTTGCCATTAAATATAAAAACGTTGCCGTTATGGATTCCTTTTCTTGCCTTGGACAGTAACGTTTGTATTGTTGCACAGTGTGTTCTACCCAAAGCATCATGCAATTGCAGCCTAATTTAATCGTACAAATTCATTAAAAGATGCTACTCAGTGTTTAGACAGAAAGGACTGAAACATCATTAATATTGGAAAATGACAGACAGTGCCTTGCCCAGTTTATTCATCAGATCTTGCTGCTTAAAGTCTTCCTTTCACCAATAAATAAAAGTTAGATCAAAGCGCTTCCTCGTTTCCTTTCTTTCTTTTTTGCAACTGTTGCTCGTCTTTCTGCTTTCTGTAGAAACCAGGTTAACTTCTGTGAAGTCTCACAAGCGTCCACAAGGTGGCTCTGTCCCTGTTGCCAAGTCATCCAGGGTGACATAGCAACAATCTAGAAGGACAAATGAAGGGTCTGTAAATATTGTACACTTGCATTGTTATTCAATTTACAAAAGAGTCACAGTGAACATACCAGTACAAAGTATATTTAAATATTTTTTAATAAATTGAACACTGAGGAGTCAACAACCATGCAGACCCAACTACATCCTATAGCTAGGAAAGAAAAAGGTTTCTTGCACTTAAAATGTCAATTAGATTTCATTTTCCTGCCAGGAAAAAGACTCAGATGTCACACACTTTGTGACACGTTTCTTTTTGAAATCCCACTTAAAGTGCTCAGGCTCAAGACTCCAATAAATAATAAACCCAACGACTTACAGCAAACAAATAAGCCACTCTCTAATTTGCAGTTTCAGCCTTTGAACGCGGGTGCACATTTCCACAAGTTGCTGCTGTCTGAGTCCAAAATTTAGCAATGTATCGTTAGTATGCTTAAAAACAAGTGAAAGTAGGATTCTTGACATTTCTGCAGCGACAACACTGCTCACTTGTTCTACTCAAGCTGGATAAATATTAATCACCGGTGAATAAATCAATATGAAACGAAGCCAGCTCAAAGAATTTTCAGTTATTTTTGTAATAGGAAATTGAACAACCCTGAACACCAAACAGAGGTGGAGTTTTTCATCTCTAACTTCCCTTATATTTGCGGTATTAGTGGCCTGAACGGGGTGTTGAAATGCTTCACACTCTGAACTGCCACTTCGAGATAAGCTGCAATGAGTCTTCCTGTATGAACCAAGCTCGCAGAATATACTTCAGAGTTTCACACACAGTGACTCAGGATAACTGTCCTCGCTTCTCACACCGACAAAAAAAAAGAAAAAGTTCTATCAAAGTAATGGTGAAGATTTAGGCAGCAAAGATGCCTGAAGAAAAAAAAGAAGAAAAAACAATGTAATACTGTAGCATTTAAAAACTGTTAAAACAGTAAAAACAATGGGAAATATCTGCCAAATAATTAGTAATTTTTCTGTTCAGTTGATTTGATTTCAGTAAAATTGTCTAATTCAACAGTCAAACTGTGCAAACGAACAATTTACTGTTATAAAAAATGTTTGATGTGGACATTGTTATCAGTTATTTTTTATTTATTGGTATTATTTTTTACAGTTAACATGCAAAGTAAAAAACTTTATTAAAACTTTGTTACACCAAACATCTGTTAACATGTTTAAAAAATTATTTGCCATTTTTTCACTCCTTGATTATTATCTTTTTCACTCAAACAACCACAAATGTATGTAAAACAACACATTTTTTGTGCTGATTTAAATACGTGAAAAATAATGAATTACCATTTTTAAAAGTGTTTTAAAAATGTAGACGTATTTACACTTTGGACTTGCTCTTTAAGGATTAGCATGTAAATTAATACTGTTTTTCATTGATTTCACCACGTGTTGTTTTTGTAATTTAACAGTTAAATGTTAATTTTTTTTACAGCACAGTTTGTCAGATAGAAACTACTTCACACTTCTTCACTGTAATATCTCGTTCTGAATCTTGTCTTAGAGTTTGCCACTAGTATTCATTAACCTTCCACAGAGCTGGTGACTCATTAGAAGTCACAGTAATTCTGTGCTGTATTGAGTCTGCGAGAAAATTTCTCATAAATTGCTCCTTTGAATGACTCACTTGAGTTCTTGGGATCTGTCACAGTGTACGCTCAATCCTCTTCAAATGACCCAACAGCAGTAGCATTTTTATGTATTTATTTGTCATACTTCACACAGGAAATGCCTCTTCACTTTACAGATTCATGTGATGTGAACTTGGATATCTAAGTATACATTGCTATAGTGCATGAATAGTGCATAGAGGCATGCACTCCTGGCTCAAAGTAAGACACCATGAATGGCCAAGCAGGTAAAACATGATCTGCTTTCCAGAATGCATGAAGCTAAAGAAGACACATTTTAAAAAATATTTTAAGCAAGATTACTTTTTTGTTTTGATATTTTACTGTTTTAAAATAACAAAAAAAGGAAAACGACATAGGGAAATAGTTTGGTCAGTGCTTAGTAACACCCCCTCTGGTAAGTATCACTGCTTATAATTGGTTTCTGTAGCCATCGAAGACCCCTTCAGTTCAGTTCTTGTTGTTTGGGTTTTTTGTTGCCCATGCATCCTGCAAAAGGCTTCAGTTCTGTGAGATGCTTGAGTCCTGCTCTTTAGAAGTCTGCTTTGTGCCTCTTGGATTAGAGGATTGTGGATTTTGAGCTGTTAGAAGGGTCATTATCTGGAAGTAGACACCATCCTCCTTCAGCTTTTTTTCCCCCACATGGTGAGATGTTTGCTTTCAGAATTTGCTGCTATTGAATTGAATCAATTCTTCCCTCTACCAGTGAAATGTTCCATTTGTCACTGGCTGCAGCACAAACCCAACACATGACTGATCGGCTCCTGAGCCTAACAGCTAGAGAGGTGCTCTTGTCATGAAACCCTTTGTCCAAAAATATCTTTGCTCATTTCAGGTAAAAAAGGTAAAACTGTATAGTTAAACATCACTTATTTCCAAAAGGCATCAAGTTTGGTTAGAGTTCATATTCAAACTTCTGACACTGAATTTCAGAAGTTTTGATTTGCCTTTCTAGCCAGCAGTTCTCTGTGAAGGTTTTCTTGGTCAACCAGACTTCCACTTGACCTCCACCGTCCCTGTTGCCATTTCTGAGAACATTATGAACTGAGGAAGCAGCCGCCTGACATCGCAATGCTGTCTTCTTATAGCCTTCTTCTTCTTTGTGAGCGTCTGCTATTTCAGTTTTCAGAGTGCTAGGAGGCTGCTGAGAGAAGCCTATGGCCTTTCACCATGATGATGTGAACAAACCATACACCTGACAAGCTAATCAAGAGATTAGTTCAACTTATCTAAGAGCTGAAATCTCTTGAGCTGAGCTGTTGCATAGTACTTCTTTTCCTTTTTCATTTTAAAATTGCAATTGAAACACAAATCTTTCTTAAAATGCTGAAAAGAATGTTTAATCTTAACCTTTGCACTTTTTTGGAAACCAGTTCATTTCCTAGTCTCTTGACTATTAACAATAACAGAAAGTTTGACCAAACTTTTGTCCATGTCAGTGTATGGTGCACAGAGTAGACTTTACTGAAGAGGATCTGCCAGTGCAGGTGCCTTCCTGTCTGTCTGACTGACTGAAGATGGGAGCATTGGAGGAAGAATCATTTCAAAGTTAGGGTTTTAAAAGTGCAAGCAATGTTACCAGATGATGTGGAGACTAAACATGCATTTTCCAACACCTCACTCACTATGGTACCCATGATTGAAGTTATTTCGTAGGGCAAGTTCAGTTTAGGCATTTTCCACAGCCAGCCTTTATCGCTCTCCTTTTCCACGGACTGTCTTGGGGTTTCCTCCCCTGCATGCTGCTGCAGTCCACTCTGAGCTGCACTCTGACCAGTTAGTTTACTGTATAACGTTCAGTCTCTTGGCATATTATGGAAACTCAACATACAGTACGGTTGTAGCTGCAGAGGGAAGTCCAGCAAGTGAGTCATGGTACATTGGTACATGAGGAAGTTACGCAGCACTGTGCACAGCACATTCTCATTGCTGCAAAAAACAAATTGAGTGGTAATTCAAAGAGCATGGCAATAAAAAAGTACATTTTTCCTTGTGTGGCTCCTTTTTCTGCATAAAGAGGTCAAGTGACAGATGGAGCAATGATCAGCAGTAAGGAGGAAACACTGTCCTACACACAGAGATGCATATCCTGGAAGCAGGAGCAGGCACGTGATGGCTAGAAATGGGTAATAATGGAGGAGGAGAATCCATCCATCCATTATCTTTACACCACTTAATCCTCACTAGGGTCATGGGGGGGCTGGAGTCTATCCCAGCTGACTCAGGGTGAAGGCAGGGGACACCCTGGACAGGTCACCAGTCTATCACAGGGCTACACTTAGAGACAGACAACCAAGCACACTCACATTCACACCTACGGACAATTTAGAATCACCAGTTAACCTCAACATGTTTTTGGACCTTGTGGGAGGACGTCGGAGAACCCAGAGAGAACCCACGCTGCACAGGGAGAACATGCAAACTCCACACAGAAAGATTCCAGGCATCCTAACCGGTACACAAACTGGCGACCTTCTAGCTGCGAGGTGACGGTGCTAACCACAGAGCCACCTTGCAGCCCTGAGCAGGAGAATGTATTTGAAAATCACAAAAAATAATACAGGCACTAAAATTAAAGCAAAAGTCTGACAACAGTCATTGACATAACCTAACGTGCTCTTAATCTCTTCATAAACTCAACACGTCACACTGATTGACATGAAAGTCTTATTAAATAGCCTCACATGGCAGGTTCCCTACTTCCTCGATTTTTAACACTTTCAACCTTTGTGCGTACACTTTGTTGAGCATTATCGAGCCAAACTGTTGAGTGTGTCTCAGCCCGCCTTTATCTCGAGAACTGTGAGCCATTAAAGCCTACAGCAGCATTTCACAACCATGACATGTTGACACTTTATTTCCACATATTTCCTGAGAGCGAGCTGTGCAGTTATCTTCCTTGTTTTGACTTCCTCTTTGCTGCTTGAAAGCTCAGTGGCCAAACCAACTGTCTTGTGCGCAGTGTCATCATTGTGAGCTCTCAGGAGGAGATAGAAGAGTGCTGCTCTTGGACTCCTGTGCATCAACAGGTAACAGACTGACACCTCATTTCTTAAATGCTATGAATGGAAATATCTATATGCAAAAAAAAAAACAAATAGAAGAAATATACACATAGCATGTTTCTGTATTGTCTTTGATGATGTATGTTTGGAGCCGTGTCTTGTTCATTTCTCCCACAGAGCCATCTTTGATTTGACGAAAGATCAGGCCCCCCACTTAGTGTATTTGACAAGCTGAGTTGGACACTCTGTATCAGTGAGTGTCAGTTTGTCAAATACCCCAAGTGAGGTGTCACTAGTCTACGAGTTAATGTCGCTGCACAGGTTGCACAGGGAGAGCCAGCAAGCAGAGGAAACTGGAAAAACTCCAAGGTAACGTGTTTCCCAAACGCTTTTCTCGTGAGACCTTTGAAGATATCGACGAGATTTGCGGCAGTTCATGTAGCAACGCTGAAGACAGCCAAAGTGCTCTGGATCATCTTTACGACTGTCACCCTTGTGTGCAAATTACTATCATACAGATAATTGGTTTAATAATTAGAATCATGTATGTATGCTCTGCTCTTCATTTATAATAGTAAAGGCTTTGTAGAGATGTTTTCTACTCTTACAGCACAAAAACCTTTCAAATGTGATGTCTGATATGTTGTCAGTGGTGCAAATGAGCAAAAATGGAAATGCACCATCATATGTATACATGTGCAAAAACAGCTCCATGTACTGGGAAAAATGCCTTTATGTGATCAGTTTCATATTCAAGATTAAAGCTACGATCACCCGTTAAGAAGACTGTGCATCGACAAACTGTTTAGATATTATCTCCATTCAGTGTGAAGCTATGTGTCTTTTACGTGAAAATTATTCTCGACCGGGAGGAGAGCGGCCTGACAGACCCATGGAGCATCACGTGCTCACAAAGGTTTTTGGAGGGACTTTTTGTGTGATGACACGATGTACCAAAATAATTCAACAGTGCAAAATAAAGTGTGGTTTTTGTACAGACTGCTCCGTGATCTTTTAAGTGTTATATTTATAAACTGCTTGACTTACAACTGACTTCTCAAAGAGAGCACTTATCGGACCGCCCTGCATTTCCTGTTTCGGTGCAAACACACTGCATCACATGTATTACATTCAAATCGCAAATAATGGTGACATCCTTGCTGTTTTCTAACCTCTGTTTCAACGACCCTGGCATGGCACTAAATGAGGCTTTTTCTTGTCGAAAAGGTTTTGAAACTCCTACTATTGCTTTGTTAAAGTCTACTGTTCGCACTGCATGAGGAGGCTGCAGTGTGGACTCTGCCTTGGCTGCAGAAATGAAAGTTATTGACACTGCATATACTGGTTTGCATCAAAAACTGTTGCTTTGACTGGTCTTCACAACATTTTAGAGTACTGTGCAAATGTCCAGTTGTACTGTAACCGAGGGCATGTCCAGCTTTCAAGGCATTTTTTAAATAAAAGTTCCTAAATTAACGTTTGCCTTTAAAATAGTGTCAGGATGAGATTTAAAGCTGTCTCAGTAAGTGAGCCTGTAAAACAATTCTTTATATAAAGAATTGCTCTCACTCACCATTGCACCCTATCTACCAGAGTTCAGCGACTCCCTGACCATGCACAGAATCACACATTAGCATAATTTTATTTATAAATCCATCCTTGGTCTGCTCCCCTCTTACCTTTGTTGGTATATTTTATTTAAAGCCAGTAATTACTATCTGCGCTCGAATGACATCCTTTTATTGACTGTCCCTAAGGTTCTCACTGAACTTGGCAAACATGCTTTAATGTTCTCTGCACCTGCAGCCTGGAATCACTTGCAGGCTGAACTGCAGCTACAAGAGCCGATCCCGATTAGGGGTTTTAAAAATGTGGTGAAGGGTCTCGAGGCAGATTCCATTGGACTATGTAACAGCTTTCCTTCTTAACCAAATAGGATTCCTCCTGTTTAGGACTTCATTTGCGAGTTGTTACTGCATGTTTTATAATGTATGTGTTTTTAAATGTTTCAGGTATGTAACTGTAACTTGGTGTTGCTGCCGTCTTGGCCAGGGCTCCCTTGAAAAAATAAAGGTTAAATGATATAAAAATATATAGAAAGATAAGCGCTGATTAAATGCAACAAGACATCATCAATAAGTGTGACTTCCTCAAATTGTTGGAGAAACCTGCTATTCTCAGCTGACTGCATTGTATAAAAATGATGCACCTCTGATGAGGCTGCCAACATCTGCATTATCATTATTAGTGTGTCCTGAATCTGATTACAGCTCATAAACTGATTATTTAGTACACATGACTTTGGGTAGTAAGGAGTGAAATCTTTGTGCTTAATAGGACACTAGACTGTATTTTACTACTTACCTGTTTGATGATCACCTGACTCAGTAATATTGCTACACAAAACCATAGTGTCACTGTGATGACTGTAATAAAACTGATTATTGTGTCATGCACCATTCGTCGTTAAAAGGCTTTTAAAAATATTCCAAAAAATAAAGAACTCATTGTTGGATGTAGTTGGGTTCACTGTCTCCTCTGACAGCCAGTGGCACTCATTTTGTTTTAAAGTCGCACTCCAAAATTACCTGGTGGATTCATTCCACACTTCATACTCTGTTAGATTATAGTGAGTGAAGTATGTCAGTAAGAAGTAATTCAAATAATATTGGAAATGCTTCAAAATTGGACTTCAGAGTGAAACACCATTTATTTCTCTGCTATATGTATATCTGCTATTTGTGTCTTGACTTTTTTTCTTCT